GAAGACAAAATTTTTACTTAGACTTAGGGATAGCTGTACTTATTTCAGTAAATATTTATTATTATGCATGTTAGACAAAGAATAAAGTAGGCCCCTCTCCTCAAGGAGTTTATATTCTATAAGGGTGCCACCACATAAATGTAGATAAGTATAATGAAGGAAGAGAGTGAAGAGCAAAAGAGAGACAGGGACCAGAGACTTCACAAATATTTAAGTGGGGGAGAGGTCTAACAGCCTGGATGATCAGGCCTCACCAAAGAGGTGTTATTTAGTGCCTAAGGTAAGCCTTGAAGGGGGAACATAAGAATTCCAGGAGGCAGAGATGGAGGAGGAGAATATTGCAGGGATAGGATATCATTTGTACATACACAGGGAAGCCAGAGAGTGCCCTGCAATGGGGAAGACTGGGTTATAGAGACCCTTAAATGTTTGGCTAAGAGAAGTTTATATTTTACCCTACAGGCATTAGGGAGCCACTGAAGGGTGTGTGTGTGTGTGTGTGTGTGTGTGTGTGTGTGTGTGTGTGAAATGTGGTTAGATATATGCATTAAGAAAATTTTTTTGACAGCTATGTAGAGAAGAATTTGAAATACGGAGAGATGCTGGGGGCAGGAGACTAATTTGGAAACTGTTATTAATAGTCCATTTGAAAGGTTATGAGACCCTGAGCTAGATTAGGATGAGAGTGAAGAGAAAACAGCTAAGGTAAGAGATACTGTAAAGGTAGACTCTCTGACTCTGTGTGTGTGTGTGTGTGTGTGTGTGTGTGTGTGTGTGTGTATATACATATATATATACATATATATGTGTATATATATACATATATATGTATATATATATATACATATATATGTGTATATATATGTATATACACACACACACACACACGAAATAATACTTTATTTTTTTAGAAGTAGACTATATAGATATGAAATAATATTTTTTTCCCAATTGCATGTAAAACAATTGTTAACATTCATTTTTAAAATTTTGAGTTCCAAATTTTCTCTCTCCTCCCTTCCCCCCTCAGATGGTAAGCAGTTTTATATAGGTTATACATGTGCAGTCATGAAAAACAAATTTCCATGTTGGTCATGTTGTGAAAGAAGAAACAGACCAAAAAAAAAACCTCACGAAAAAATAAAGTGAAAAATAGTGTGCTTCAATCTGCATTTAGACTCTATCAGTTCTCTCTCTGGAGGTGGATAACATTTTTCATGAGTCTGTAAAGGTAGAATCTACAAGAAATGGAGGCTAATTGTCTGTGGAGGGAGATGGAGAAGGAAGAGTCATAGTTGATTCATGGGATCCTGTAATCATAGATGTAGAGCTGGAAGAGATCTCGGAGGCCATGTGGTCTGACCCATTCATTTTTACAGATTAGGAAGGTTCAATGACTTGGCTGTCAGAGTAAGGATTTGAACCCAGGTCCTCTGACTCCAAAGTCAGCACTCTTTCTCCTATATTGTGTTGCTAAGGATGATGATGTAGGTAGTGGCTCACATTTGTATTGCTCTTTCAGATTTGCACAGAGAGAGAGAGAGAGTTTGTTTATTAATACATTATCTTATTTGATCCTCATGATAACCCCTGTAAGGTAGATGCTGTTAATATTGCTATTTGCAAATGAGGAAGCAGAGGCTCAAAAAGATTGTGATTTGGCCACAGTCACATGCCTACTAAGTGTCTAAAGTGGATTTTGAACTTCCTGTGTTTAAGTTTAACATTTGTCATGCTACCAGTACTCTTAGGATGGTGGTAGCTTTGCCAGAAATAGGGAAGTTGGGAAGAGGGGCAGATTTGGGGGGAAAGACAATGAGTTTGCATTTGGTTTGATGTGTTAAAAGAGGATTTTTTAAGAACTGAAAGTTATCTGTTAAGAGTGACCTAACTCCATTTTATGCCTAATTGCCTTCCCATGCCCCCCCCATATGATGACTCAGCAAAATATCTCTCCCTACCTCCCTTGCCCCTCATCTATTTACGGATCATCTTAATCACCTTAAAATAGCTCAAGGAAGTTTTACCCCTTCTCTTTATCCTATCCGATAAAGCTGGGGTAGGCCCTTAACTCATGCTTATTGACTAACTTCCTTTGTTACTGTCTCTGGCTTACAAAGCTGTGGAGGGAAGAATGTAGTCTGTGGAATTGTGAGATGCACATGCCCATCACCTACTGCTGGTTTGTGAATAAATACACTAGAGTTTACCTGTCTGTGTGTATCCTGTGCTTGTTCATTTTGGCAGGAGCTGGTCAAGACCCTGAAAAATCTTGAAACAAGTGAGAAATATTTGCACGTGCCCCCTTCTCTCCTCTGACATTGCCTTCACACCCTGCTGCAAGCCCTTGTCACTTCAGGCCTTGACTGTTATAGTAGCCTGCCAGGTTGGTGTGCCTGTGAAAGTTTCTGCATGCCCCAGGTCACTCTAGTCCATTCTCCATTCAGCTGCCAAAGGGAGCTTCCCAAAGCACAAGTCTGTCTGTGCCACCCTCCCTCCCTTCCCCCTACCATTCACACACTTAGTGAATTTCATTTGCTCCCTCCAATCTTTCCGGTCTTCTTAGCATGTATGCTGCAATCCAGTGACACTGGTCTTCTTGCCTTTCCTAGAACATGAACCCCCATCTTCCAACTCCAGGCATTTTCACTGGCTGTTCTGTACCTGGAATGCTCCACCTTCTTATCTCTATCTTCTGTTTTTTCTGGTTTCTTTCAAGTCCCATCTAAAATCTCATCTTCTACAGGGAGCCTTTCCCAATCCCCCTTAATTCTTGTGTCTTGCCCCTGTTGTCCGTCTCCCCCCCCCCCCCAGTATATCTTAATCTGGCCTGTGTGTATGTAGTCGTTTACATGTCTGACAGTAGTCAATAAAGATTTAAGTACCTACTATGTGCCAGGCATTGTGCTAAGTGCTGGGAATACCAAGAAAAGCAAAAACAGTCTCTGCTCTGAAGGAGCTCACTATCTAATGGGGGAGCCAATATACAAACAGGCTATATTCAGGATAAATTGGAAATAAAATATTTTGACTGACTGGATATGTCCAGAAGTCATTTGGAGATGTAGGACTGACATTTAAGAGAAAAGAATATGGCTAGACATAAAGACTTGGGATTCATCTGTATAGAAATAATTATTGAATCCTTGAGAATAGATGAACTCACCAAGGGGGAAAGTGTAGATAGAAAGGAAGAGGGCCCAGCAAAGAACCCTTTTGGCATTTGTTTGTGGAGGTAGGACTGGGGGTGGAGGGAAAGGAAGGAGATTAGTGGTGATCCAGTGAAGGAATTTCAGCCAGGTCAGAAGATAACCAGGAAGAAAAGCTGCAGCCAAGAGAGGAAAGTATCAAAAGCTGCAGAAAGTTCATCTCAGGATGAGTACTGTGGAACAGGTATGGAATTTAGCTATTATTAAATCTCTGGTAATCTTTGAGAGAGCTGTTTTTGTGTGATTGAGGAAGAAATGGGTGGTTAGTCAGTGGAGGTTTGGAGTACTTAGGATTCATGGCAGCATGGTGAAGTGGGTTTGAAAACATTTCTATCACCCCTCTCTGGGCCCTGTCCCTTCCTTAGCTAGCTTGCTGTTTTCAATCGAGTCAGGAGGAAAGCAAGGAAAGTACTAAACTCTAGTTTCTACTAAAATGCTAAGATTTTAGGGACTTAATTTGTTATTATTCCCAGGAATATTTACATTTTAAAAGACTACTTGAGAGATCAAAGCAAAGGGATGAATAAATTAGGGTAAATTTCATGAGTGTGTGGGATTTGAGTTGGGAAGGGAAGAGAGGAGGTCTGCTTTTGGAAGCTGTCTTTCCCAGACTTTCCCTAATCTCTCATCATTCCACATGGCTACTGCCTACATATAATGCCATCTTTGTGTACCAAACTTGAAAATCTGGGCTTTTTTTTTTTAAGTATTAACCTGGAATCCAGTTGACACTCTGAGTTGTGCCGTTGCCCTCTAGTTTGGAAGCACCAATATCTGTCATGCCAGGCTGTTTATGTGGAATTCCAGTCTGTACCCTTCCCATTAGCTGTAGCCCTTCTCCCTTCACCCTGCCTCTTCCTTCCATTTCTCCCCTTCCTCCCAACAGCTAGAGGAATCTTCCACTTTCAGGTCTCATATTCCTCTGAAACAAATACATTCCAGATGCTCCTACTATAAAAAGTTCCTTGTTTTCTTCTGAATTTGAATTTCTCCCCATTTTTGTTCTGAAATGAAACTCCTCAACAGCAGTAACTCATTGAATTGCCCTGTTTTCTTTCAACAGTAACATTTCCGTCATCTCCAGGAGACAGCTGTGGTGAGAACCTCTAATCTCACTTAAATGAAGAAGGCCTGAGCCATCTAATCAGTGATCCCAATTCTAAATTCTAGTAAAATAAAGGTCTTTGGCTGCCTGCTTGTGTGTGAGAGAGATAGGATCCTAGGCTCTCCTGCTGGAAGGGAATTCACAGATAGATCATTTAGCCAAACAGCTGCTGCTGCTGCTGCTGCTTCTTCTTCTTCTTCTTCTTCTTCTTCTTCTTCTTCTTCTTCTTCTTCTTCTTCTTCTTCTTCTTCTTCTTCTTCTTCTTCTAACAAATTTTAATAGAGGAGGAAACTGAGGCCCAGAGAGATGTTGAGTAACTTGCTCAATTGAAAAACTCCATTCTTACGTCAGACTCCAAATCCAAATCTCTTTCTGTGTGTGTGTGTGTGTGTGTGTGTGTGTGAGAGAGAGAGAGAGAGAATGGGTATGTGAGTGGGTGTGGGGGTGTGAATGTGGAGGAGCGCACCCACTCTCAGTTGGTCCCTAAAGCCAGCCAATGTTATAAATAAACCAGTTTAAGAGAAAGAAACTTCCCACAGATGTGAAATTGCATTGGTCTCCTAGACAGCTAAAACATTGTAAATCAGAAGGAGGGGGAAGAACTAAAATTGAAAGCAGGATTGTTCTTGTTGGCAGGGCTAAAGTTTTACAGATCAAAACAAAACTAAACAAAGTTAAGCACTTACCTCAGCTACAGACCGCTCTACTCCTGAAACTGTCTGTAAGTTTTCCCCAGTGAGTCCTGGTCCGAGGACGACTTAATTAACTTCTGGATGAAAAGCTTCTATTTCAAAAGTAGCTATAGTCTTTGCCTGCTGTCTAAATACTTGTCACCTTTTTCAGTTGCTATGAACATAAGTCTGGGTAGGCAAGCACAGACTACAGAAATCCACAGTTATGCAAGGAAAACAAGAATTTGGTCTTAAGTCATTCAAACCACACACACTGCATTTTAAGTAGCATGGTTTTGTCACATGACTTAAAAAATTCAAATCAACCTACTAGTGAGGTATTTTGGTATCCTAGAACAAGAAAGTAAAGTGTGTGTGTGTGTGTGTGTGTGTGTGTGTGTGTAAATGTGTACTTCTGAGTGGCTGGGGCCATCTACTTCCTCCTTTAGATTCCAAAAGTTGGCCCCTTCACAAAACAGCCCCACCCAGAGTCTAGCCAACCTCTGTAGCTGAATTTTAATAGTCCCACTGCTTAAAATAAGACCCAGTTCCCTCCACACCCACAATGACATAGCAAACCATGAAAATTTTTTAAAAAGGTACCCCAAACCTGTAGAAGCTAAAGAAAATACTCTCATATGTTCTCATTAATATCCCTTAGATTTTTCTAGTTCTGCCTTTATTCAAAATAAGATCAGCTTTATTCTGTATTCTTGGAATCTAGAGTCTAAAGCTCATTTATTTTCCACTGAACACAGTATCCTACACTGAATAAGCAATCACATTAATGGTATGACTGGAGAAGTTACCCCTGCCACCATCCAGAAACATATTCCCCACTAGCCTTCCAAAGTGCCTGAAAATCCCTCCAACTCCCAAACTCCCAAAGACTCATTCTTGGGTTAAGACATTGTCTATATCGAGGCATTTTTATCTGGGTGGGATGAAGGCATAAGCAACTCTTATTGTCACAGGACAGATCATTGTATCAGGTGACTCTAGCTATTTGTTATCTAGTAGATTCAGTTCAGAAGGATTGGTGACTTCCAAGAGGGGTTGGGGGCAGGGTAGGGGGTTGGCAAGGTTCAGAGCAATGAAGGGGCCAGGAGGCAGAGTATTCAATTACTTGAACACATGGTTTAGGGAGGGAAAAAAAGGAGTCTAAAGAGGGAAAGAAGGGACAAGATAAAGACCTAATTTGCCATAGGCCAGCCTCAGTTACTTGGAAGTATTGATTTCTTTTAATAATTTACCAGCTCCTAAACGACTTAAATTTTCCATCATTCAACAACAATTTATTAAGTCCCTTCTATCTGCCAGGGATACAGAGGTAGAAATGAAATATATTCCTTGCCTTCTAGGAGCTTATAGCCTATTGGGGAAAGACATATAAACAAATAAATGGTGATTTTTGTCGTTGCTGTAAGGATGGGGAGGCACTCGTATGTGAGATTAGAAAAGGCTTTGTTTAGAAAGTGGCCCTTGAGTTGAGTGTTTAAGGAAACTGGGGATTCTTTGGAGGTAAATGTGAGGAAGAAGTGCATTCCAGGCATAGGAACTGATGACCTATGCAGAGGCAAAGGGATGAAGTATCATGTGTGAGAAACAGTGAGAAAGCCAGTTTGGCTGAACATAAGAGTGACAGGAAAGGGAATCATATATATTAAGGCTTTTCATGGAAATTGTGGAATACCATAGGGTTTATATTTGACCCTAAAGGTAATAGGGAGCCACTGTGGTTTATTTGTCAGGGCAGTGACAGTCAGATCTATGAGTTAGGAATACACTTTTGTCAGCTGTATGAAGGATAGATTTGTGTCAAGTAAAAATTTGCAAGAGACATAATTTCTGGGTAAATTATAATCAGTTTTATCAACTACAGCTAACAAGTAGTCAACAAAAAAGACTTGTTTGTCCTCTGGACTATCAAAGAGGCCTAACCTGTGGAACCTTCAATACTTATAAAGCCTTTGGAAGAGGAGGTGCACCTGAGAGTGGAAATCAACTCTGATTGGTTAAGAAGTAATGAGAGGATGAACATTATAATGAGAGGTGGGCTTATTCTGTTGAGGGTCTGGGGGTGGGACTCTGATCACTCAGTCTTGGTCAAAGAAACTTTTCTGTACCCATATCACCCTACACAGGGTAATCTAGACAAAAGGGAGAATCCACTTTTACCCAGACCTTTCTGAGTAAAAGACAGTGGGCTGGGATCCATCAATTTGCCTAAATTAAAATTCCTTTATCTTTTAAACAGATCTGAATTTTCCCTCTCATTATCATGATGCCCTGTGCTTCAAAGGCTGCCTGAATAACCTACTGGCACTGATTTCTGAATGAGAAAGTAGAAAAGGAGAAAAACCTTGGTCCTAATTTAATAATTGGTTATTAATATAAGAGAAATAATCATTTCTCTTCTGTTGAAGTAAGGAGAGACTTAAGCAGAAAGACTAAATAGGAGGCTATTGCAACAGCCTATTTGAGTGGTGATAAACACCTAAACTTGGGTGGTGGCTATGCGAGTAGAAAGAAGAGCATGTATGTGAGAGATGCAATGACAAGATTCGGCAGTTGGTTGGATGTCAAGTCAGTCAACAAGCATTTATGAGGTTCCTGCTTTGTGCCAGGGACTGTCCTAAGCACTGGGGATACAAGGAAAGGCAAAAATAGCACCTGTCCTTAAGAAGCTCACACTCTAATGGGGAGAGAGAAGATGGAAATATTATATGAAAATAATATAATCATAGAGGAAAGGCACTAAGATATGTGGTTGAGGTAGAGTGAAGAGTTAAAGGTGAGTTGGAAGTTGTGCATCTGGGTGACTGGAAGGATTTTGAGAGACAGAACTAAGTTTGGAAGAAGAGTGAGTGTGGGGCATGGTAAACCTAAGATGTCTATAGAACATTCAGTTTGAAATTTCTAACGGGCACGAATGTCCACTTTGTTCAAAATGTCCAGCGCGATACAGCACTAGAGCTCAGGAGAGAGACAATACATTAGAGAATATTGAGGAACAGGATTTCCATATGTTGCACATGAGTCCAGTCACACACATTTTTGCAACTTCCTACACCATAGAACTGAATCATCAGAAATCAGCTTAAACTAAACTGATCTGTTAGAAGGGTATTACTCCCATCTTAGAAGGATATCATTGCACCCTTTTGTTTGGGTTTTCACCTTTGAATCAGCCTATTTGCAAGCATTGGCAGCATTTACTAAGTGCTGTAAAAAAACCTGATTATAAAATGGATAAGAGATGTCATTCATGAATGTGAAGGATCTTCTTCCTGGTTACTTTATGGCTTAAGCAGGATCAGTTATCTTTCTCTAGGTTGTTGCAACCAGAGGTAGGAGAAGGAAGATAATTGCTGTAGAAATTTAGAGCTAGAAGGCACCTTAAGAGATCATCTGTTTTCACCCCCTCACTTTACAGAGTTTGGAAATAGAGGCCTAGAAAAGTTGTGAGATGTCCAAGGCACGCAACTTGTTAATGGCTAAACAGAGAACCAGGCCTGAGTGTCCTGATTCGCAGCCTCCTGGCTGTTTTGGCTTTTCACTGGTGCACTCTCCAGGAAAGCTACCATGGTCAAACCCTCGTACTACTACAGACCTACTGCAAACCTACTGCAGAATCTTTTCTGAAATGAAAATAGGTGGGAGGTTCATCAGTGGGCAAATCCAATAGCTAGTTATTTATTTCTGAGAGTGAGCTAGAGCCCTGTTCTGTCTAGGACTGGGAACTGAGGGGAGCCTCCAACTTGAGATTTTTTCCTCCTAGGTGTGATCAGCCTCTGGATATTTCTGTCTTATCAAAAAGCTAAAAGCCATCAAGCAGAGGGAATATGCTTGTGGATACAGGGGCTTCCTAGAGCCTGCTAAGCAAATAGCTTAGCCCCAAATGCCTTTCTCCATTCCCTGCAACCCTAGATAGGTTTAGGTCTCATGTAACCTATCACTGTGGAAGAGTATTTTGAGATTTAGTCAACTCCAGAACATTTATTAAGCATCTACCTAATCACCTTGCCTGTTTGGCTGAGCAAGAAGGATTCTATAAATCAAGAATTCAAAGATTGTGACTCACAATAGGCCAGAATAGATTAGGCCTTAGCCACAGATACCTGAATTGTCTCTTTGCTCTGGAAATGGTTGGTTTCCACCCCAACCTGGCCTTCTCACATTGATCACTGGCTTTTTTAAGTAGAGGCTAATGAGTCAGTTCGTTCAGTGTACCCAGCACCCAGGAAGTGCTCTTCCTCAGCCTAATACATTAATAATTTACCTCCTTGATAAAGGGTTGGTGAAAGCCTGGCTAAAATGAAACTTGCTCTGTGTCCTTCTCTTATTGCCATTTTATTTTGATGCATCTGTTTAATTTAAACTGACTTTTAGTTTCCCTAATTTATTTAGTCTCTAATAGATGGAAAACAGCTTTCCCTGAGAGGTGAATGAAGGCTGTGTGTGGTTATTGTTGCTCATTTTCTCAGGAGGGTGTAGTAATCAAATTTCATAGTAATAGAATTTTAGAGCAAGAAGGAGACTTCAAGATGATGTAGTTCAACACCTTCATTTTACAAATGAGGAAACTGAGGCCCAGGGGACCTTGTAGATCATCTAATCCAGCCAATTCATTTTACAGATGAAGAAAGTGATATCCAGAGGCAAAGGGATTTTTTTCAGGATCACACAGTGAGTTAGTGATAGAGCTGGGATTATAAACAGGTACTACTGAATCTTAGGTTAATTCTTTGGGATTTTATATCAGATCAGCAAATGAAACATTTTTACTATATGTGCCTCTTCATGTCCATCTGGGTGGGCCCCACCTATAGAGGAGTAGGCAGGCTACCTGCTTGGTGTAATTTAGGGGTGCCTAAAAGGTTTCTCCTATCCTAAATGTTTTTTCTCCCACTGACCTTTAGTAATGCATGTAGTTATCATCTCTGAATGGCTGAGTAGGGTCTGTCAATCTCTACTCATTGTGGGTCCCACCTTCATGTTTTGGTTCTCAGATGAAATGTATTGTGAGGGACCCAGAACTGCATTGAGGGTTCTGGGATCAATTCAGTGTGACACCAACAAATTGTGTGACTTTGGGGAAATTACTTCAGCTCTCTGGGTTTCACTTTCTTTAGCTAAGTGAACAAGTGGACTAGATGGCCTCCAAAAGGCCCCTTGAATCACTAACCATCTATGAGTCTTTCCCTCTTTGTTGCATTGGGCTAGCCCAGAAGTAGTAAACTCAAGTAGAAATGAATCCCTGCATGCCACATTGACTTAGAAAACCACAAATTAATATTATCTATGTTGTATTTTATTTATTTTGTTAAACATTTCCCAATTATATTTGAATCTGATTGTGGTCCTGGTAGTTTGACACATCTGGCCCAGCATACTGGAATACAAATTTTCTGAGATCAT